CGAGACTTCCTGGTCGACGTTGAAAGGGAGCGAAACCAATATAACCCACACTCATACAGGCAGTTCAATAGGCGGTGCATTACCAAGCCACTCTCTTCATTTGATCGACATCCTCGGCCCTCCACTTCATACACATCCTGCGTCAACCACCACAACGATACCCATGCCTCCTGAAAACACTCATGTGAGACAAGGTGATTGGTCTCCTCGTCACTGATCCTCACAGCAGCTTCAACTACACGTGGAGTTTCGTTGGACCTCGAGAAGAAGTTGCTGGGTCCGAGTACTGTGTTGGCCAATATGTGTGTCCAGTGTGGGATGTTGGCGCAGTAGTCGAAAAGGAATAGGGGAGTGTTGAGGGCATGCTCCTTCACACAATTCCATATTGCCACAATTTGTGTGCGGCGGAGGTGGAAGTGGGAGTGGGGGTGGGGGTGGGGGTGAGGTAGTAGAGGGGGTGCAAAGGGAAAGTTAGCGAGGTGAGTCACGGTCGGTGTGGTTTAAGGTGTCAACAGGTTGCCTGTGGAGGGGACATGAAGTGGGGTAGATGCCGAGGGCAGACGTCGTTCGCAGTCCTTCTGTATTGGAGAAAAAAAGAGATTCTCTCTTCGTGACACATGCACTTCAATTGCACTACAAAGTGTGTTAAAGACGCGGGGAGAAGCAAAGTAGGAGCATATTAGAAGTTAGGTTGGCATTCCGTTGTCAAACACGTAGTTTCCTATGCCTTTTCATTGGGTAGTAAAAGGTATAACTACGCTTTTTCCTGCTCAAAAGATACTAGACCAGTGAAATCAGGCGCCAAAACCTCAAAACTGCTCTTATAAATCACAGTCCTGTAGAGTCGTACGTAGTAAGATCAACGTAATTACGCCAATTTGGTTTTGTGTGATCAAGTCGTTCCATTTTTATGCCCTAGGATCGTTCGATTTGAGACTCAAATCTGATCTGCCTCAGTATTTCTGTTCCTGTAGTCGCCAGCTTTCCCTTGGAATTTAAGAGTATTCTATTCTGATTCACTGCGTCCATTTTCCGCCAGTAATGTTAATGTGAGTGTAAAGGTGTAATGTTCTGGGATTTTCACTTAAGGCGTCTTTCTTCACTTTATTAAGGAAAGGAAATTTTAATGCATAATATGAATTAAGCAGCATTTCTATTACATGAGAATTTGGGACGACTTTTCTTTTGCAACAAATACTTGTTTAATTCCTCCGATGAATGCTACGTTGGTGCCTACGAATTTTGACATAAAGTAAAAAAAATAAATAAGCATACGGATTTTTAGGCTTGCAACAAAAAAGGTGACCCATGCGGACCCTTTCAACTCTCCCATAGGTTGGACAATGTCACTGTTGTCATTCATCATACCATGATGTGAGTGTTTGGCTCTGGCGTTTGTGCTCCACTCACTTCCATCAGAGCAGTTTTGACTAACAATTTATCTACAAGGCTGACTTACACACCGTTGGATAATTGGCAAAGCTGTGACTAAATGGTTACTTGAATTTCGCCTAGAGCGAGTTGTTGACATCCATGTCATGTGTGGTGGGAAAAGTGAGTTGTCTCACCTGCTGCTTCCCTCACTGCCTGCAGGTTATCCGGTACCTTACGTGTTCTTGGCAGACGAAGCTCAAACCCTTGGCTTCTCAGCCGAGGCATCGGCCAACCTCCTCGTCTACCTGTCCTCTGTCAACACTGTCGGTCGGGTAATGGCGGGTGAGTGTCTAGATCCGCCTTTCCTCCTCCCCTCCTTGCTATCAACTAAATCTTAATTATTCCCTTGCCTTTCGGTGAGGTAAGGGCTGAAGTCCGTACCTCCGTCTTTTTTTTGCTCTTACCGAATTCACGGCCTCCATTTTAGTGTTTTTTTTACAAACCATAATTTACGTCACCGCTTTTGAGGTACCTTTTTTCACTGATCTATAAATGCTTATTGTTATAAGACCTGATTGCCTCTTTAGTGACACAGTTTTCTTTGTGCTTGTCCTGAATCACTTCCTAGGCGTGATCATTTCAAGTTAAAGGGTGTGTACCAACCATTGTGATCTTTTATTCTCTAGAATTTGCGGTTTTTAGTGAAACAAGAGTGAGAAACTTTTTACCGACATTTTCTAGCCTCATCCTTCACTTACTAATTATTTATACTCTTTAAGCTTTTGTACTTTGCAATTTTAATTGGGGGTATTCCCAACTCAGTCTCTGTGAGGAAATTTGTATCTCTCAGACAGAGTACACGGTCCGAGTTTGTGTCAAAATAATCTCCCTTTTTTTCTCCAAAGATGTGACTGCCATGAAGGCGTTGGAAGTGAGTCTGTTGT